CAGGCGCGTTCCACAAGATCTCCCTGACGCTCTGACTAAGCTGAGAAAACGAGGTTTAACCAAGACTAGAAATGACGAAAGTTAAATGCACTCTCAATATAACCTGCATTTTTGTACTTGACAAAAGATGTATTTTGCTTTTAATGCAATAAGTCAATTATATATAATGGGAGGAATGTACCTTGAATGGGAGAAGACAAAAGTGAGAAGCGCATTTACACCATTAACAGTGCATGCCTGCATTGTACAATTGTGGTAAGATCAATAGATCTAAGATCACAGACTAAGTCGGATCACCTCCCCATTCTGCCTTAACCCACGATCCCAGATGATGGCGTCAGGCGAAGTTGAATAAAGGGAATTTCTAAATTTTGTTTACGGTTGTACCTTCAAAAGAGTTTCAATCTGCGCGCACCAAACGCTCCCGATACAAAAGACTATTTATTTTCTTTTTCATTTAGGTATATTTTCAGCCTTTTTTTCGAAGTTGCTAGGCAACCTAAAGGGCTTCGTCTGTCGCCTGTTGCTGGAGCTGAGCCAAGATGGGCTTGATTCTGATTGCCTCGCCGTTCCAGCCGAAAGCGCCGGATCCAGAGGCGCTTTCTTGTGATTTTTTATTCTTACTTTGGCCAACCGGATTTACGAAAACTCTTCTCGCCCTCTAATCTCAGCCATAGGCCCGTATCCAGCTTCACTTTGCGTTTGCAATGAGAAGAAGCAAATCCCAAAGTGGCGTTCTTAATGGCAGCATCACTTGTCGTGAAGCGGGCATACATTTTTCAGAAATGCGGCCATTTCAAGGAACCCAGCCACAAGAGCACTAACCCTGCTTTCTTGCCGATAGATTAGACGTAGCTTTTGCAACTTGCTTCATTCGCTCTCTCCAACCAGCTTCTAGAAGCAGTTTCACTTGCCCGCATGGCAACATTCCTCAACATTCTTTGCACCAAGATACCACGAGACCCACAATCTGGCCGTGGAACCGGGCTCCCTTATGGATTGGTAGCCAAGACCGCCTCGCCGCTCGGGGCGACAGATAGAATGTGGATACGGTCCAAAGAGGATTTGGATAAGGTATGGATGGTGTGCGAAAAAAGTGTAGAAAGAGTGTGCAGCTTGTATTCGCCTATCATGTGGCGTCAGCATATCTCGAGCCATTAGTATTTCCGGTCATAAGGAGGAGGAAAAGGAGGAAGAAGAGAAGGCAGATAAAGTAGAGGAGGAAGATGAAAAAGAGGAGGAAGAGGGGGGAGAGGAAGAAGAGAAGGAAGATGAATAAGAGAAGGAAGATGAGGAAGAGGAGGAGGAGGAAGAAGTAGAGGATGAGGAGGAGGAGGAAGAAGGGGAAGAAGAGGAAAAAGAGGCAGAAAAGGAGGGGGAGGATGAAGAGAAAGAAGGGAATGAAACGGAGGAATAGGAAGATGAGGAGCAAGAGAAGGAACAGGAAGAACAAGAAGAGGAGAAGGAGGAGGAGGAGGAGGAGGAGGAAGAAGAAGAGGAAGAAGAAGTAGAGGAGGAAGATGTAGAAGAGGAGGAAGAGGAAGAAAAGGAGGAAGAGGTGGGAGAGGAAGAAGAGGATGAAGATGAATGAGAGGAGGAAGAGGAGGAGGAGAAAGAAAGGGATGAAACGGATGAATAGGAAAATGAGGAGCAAGAGAAGGAACAGGAAGAACAAGAGGAGGAGGAGGAGGAGGAGGAAGAAGAGGAAGAGGTAGTAGAGGAGGAAGATGTAGAAGAGGAAGAGGAGGAAAAGGAGGAAGAGGTGGAAGAGGAAGAAGAGGAGGGGGAGGAGGAAGAGAAAGAAGGGGATGAAACGGAGGAATAGGAAGATGAGGAGCAAGATAAATAACAGGAAGAGGAGGAGGAGGAAGAAGAGGAAAAGGAAGTAGAGGAGGAAGATGTAGAAGAGGAGGAAGAGGAGGAATATGAGGAAGAGGT